GGGATCCCTCCTTCCCAGGGCCCTGCCCCATAGCAGCACCCCAGCCTCTGCCGTGGGGAGTTTTAGCCTTCCCGGCTCCTCTCCCTGCCTCGGGGCTCGGCGGTGATGCATCTCCTGCTCCCGAATCCGGCCCTGTCTCAAACCTTGTGCGTGACCTTGGAAAATCCGTCCCTCCCCTCTATGCCTCACTTTTCCCTGCAAGGGCTGGGCTGAGCTGGTGTCCGGGGGGAGCACGGGAGGGAGAGGTGATGGGGTCTGGTCCTTGGGTGGGCAGTGCTGCAAAAATCAGTGGATGATGCCCAGAGCACCGTTGTGTGCGTGTGGGGATTGCCACAGGATCCTTGCGGCGCTGAATATTATTAATAGGTAACTATTTTGGTAGTTAATAGGATAAGGTAAATGCTTGGATCGTTAGCGCTGTGACAAATTACTCGCTAATTACAACTAAAGACCTCCTTAGGAAGAATTACAGCCGACACAAACCCTAGGCTTGTCCTGAAAAGCTGTGCTTGGCTTTTTTTTTTTTTTTTCCTTTTCATTTTAATCTAAAATAGGTTGCACAGCTGGCTGGAGATGGGTGATCCTTGGCAGCCTGGCCTCCCCCAACTCCCCCTTTTACATGGTTTCAAGGCTGCTGTCACCTTGATGCCAGGTCAAGCTGGACCACCCCATTGATGGGTTTGCTCTGTGCAGGGGCCATAGCTCCATGCATTAAGTTTTTTTTTCCTTGGGATACTGTCTTATTGACACAAAGGAGTGATGGGGCAAGTACTGTGCCCTGCTCTGAGGGAGCAAGTGCACCCTGCTGAGCACTTCCAAACTCATCTCAGCTGGCAGAGGTCACCAGGCTGATGCTTAACTCTGGATTTCAGGGAGAAACTGGGGCTCCTGCGTGTGCTCGGCTGGGCTGATCCTACTGATGGAGCCTGGGCAGAGCTTGGGGGGACAGTCCCAGTGCTGCCCAGGGTTCTCGGGGAGAAGGGCAGGAGGTGCCCAGGTGACATGGCCATCTGCCCTGGGACGAGGGCAGGCTGGTGGCTCGGGGAGATTATGCCTGGTTTGTCTTTAATCCGAGCAGGGATTTGCCTTCAGCGCTGCCGGCAGCCGAGAGGGAGGACGTGCCAGACAGCGGAGCCGATTCCTCCGTGGTGGCAGCACTTCTCTCGCCTGGAATGCCACCTAGGAACAGCCACTGGCTTTGGAAATGTGGCCCTAGGGGGGGTCTCATGAGACCCTGGGGCGTTTCCCTCTCTCTGGGAATGTGGCTTTGGCTGTTGGGCTGCAGGCTCACCCGGGATGGCCAGCACAGCCTGTGGGAATAGGGCAGCTGTGTCTTGTCCCAGTTAAGCATCTCCCCATCCCGAGGGTCCCATCCCCTCCAGGCAGGGTGCAAATGGGGTTAATTAAGCCAGAATTTTGAAGCAAACGCTGGGATCTACTTCAGTGGCTGGCAAAGGTGACGGGAGGGAGAGCAAGGGGGGCTGTTGTTGGAGCCCACTACCTGGCTAGTGGCATGGCTTTTGGGGCAAGCCCCCAGCTTTCAGCCCCTGTCCCTGGCTGAGGCCAGCACTGAGCTCCCCTGGGGACGTGGGACCGTGAGCAGGACCCTGGCTGGGGTCAGGAGCACATGGGTTAGCCTGGGAGTGCCACCCCCAGTCCTGGGGGCACAGCCCCTCGGTGGTGGCACTGCCAGGGCAGGCGAGGGCTGACGCAGCAGTGCTGCAGGCAGGGGTTTGCCACTGGCCCTGGCTGTCCACTTTAGAGTGCTGAATTAAATAAGCCAGGGCCAGAAGCAGCCAGAGGCTTTTAACCAGCCCAGGCAGTGCTGTGCCCATCACAGCACCCTGTGCTGGCACCTGCTGCCACGGGGTGTCCCTGTGCCAGCACTGGACTACAAGCTGTGCAAACCCAGTGCTTCCTTCACCAGGAGAGTGTGGATGAGCTGGTAAAGAGCTTTTCTGTTTTAGCTGCTTTGGAGAGTGAGGCTGTAGTGCCGGAGAGCCAGGGGCTGCAGTACCAGAGCTCAGCCAGACCTCAGCAGGGCAGTGATGGCTCAGGGGACACTGCAGGATGTGTGCCACTGCATGTCAGAGTCACAGGCACAGCCACAGCGCACACAGGGTCTTTGCCTGTCTCAGGGCACCTGGGCAAAGTGGCATCCCTGGCATTTGAGGGGGAAAGGGACTGACAGCTGTTGCCAGATGTGTCCTGCGTGTTGGCAGATGTACAGGACACATTTTTCGTGCCAGAAACCTCAGGCACTTGGAGTTTATTCCTGCTTTCCATCAGCTGCTCTGTGCAGCCCTTCCCGAGATGTGACTGTCCTTGACGGGTTTTCCTTGCCTGGGGGTAGGCGTTGGGTAAGAATTTACAATGAGCCGATAATGAGGGGGCTGTGACTGGGAAGGTGCTTCCCTCCTTTGCCACCCAGCCGTGCCCAGGGGTTCACCAACACACTCCTGCTTATCCCCTGGAAGAGCCTGGCACAACTCGGAGCTCTTGTTTAACAAAAAGGGTTTTGGGAGACCTTCCCTGGGAGGGGAGTGCAGGGCTGGTGCTGTCTGCTATGAAAGGGGAGCTAAACCCTCTGGGGGATGCGCTGAGAGCCTGCAGCACCCAGGGATGCTCCCAACCTCTATCTGGGAAACTGGATGATGGCAGTGTGGTCCTTGCCTGCTCTGCCCATCCTACAGGACCCTCCAGCACCCACCAAACTATGGCTGAGGCCATCGCAGAGAGTCTGTGCTCCATTTTCCAGCTTTCTCCTGGTGCTGGGGCAGCTTTTTTCCAGGTTTAAATATTTTTTTCCCATCTCCTGCTCCGAGTTGGTGTCAGGATAAGCTCCGGATGGCCCCGTTCTCCCCTGGATGTGCCGTTGCAGACAGCTCTGAAGAAGGCACTTTGCTCCCGGGTTGTTTTTTTTTTTTTTTTCCACGTGGCCGCATCCTTCCAGGCTGCCTATAAATTATGTACATGGAAAATGGGACCTGAAAGCAGCAGGCATCAATAATTGATGGTCGACGTTTGCTAACGGGCACGCTGCATCCGGGCATCCCTGCGCCACGGGCGAAGCTGTGTGACCCCACTCTTCCCTCTTTGCCCTGGTCTTACATCCCTACTCTTCCTCCCCCTGGGCTTTGAGTTTGGGTTTGGTGTTTAGATGCAGTATTGAAACCTGATTCAGCCCTGGGCAGTCCCTCAATCTGCTGTAAACCAACTGCAAGCTCTGACTTCAGTCCCCACAAGTAGAGCTGCAGCCCAAGCTTGAGCTCCTTTATCTGCAGATCCCAAAGGTTTAGTTTTGGGGTGTTCCCAGTGGGGCTGTGGATGGATCTGTGCTGTTGGGTTTGGGGTTTTTATAAACCAGACCCTGTTCCTGTGGCTGTTGTGATGCAGGAGACTGTGTCTGTCCTACGCCTGCTGCCTCTCCTGACTCTCTGTGCTTCTGCTCACCCCTTGCTGCTGCCCCATCCCTGTCTGCCTCCCCATTTCCCCTCTTTTCCCACCTCATGTCCTGATCCTCCTGCCTGGCTGGATCCTGTGCCACAGCATGCTTTCCCCATGCAGCCACAGCCCAGATCTCATGGATAAGGAGCAGGCACCAGTCAGCTCCTGGCTGGGCTGGGAGGAAAATCTCTTCAGTAGAGAAGTGCTCCACTCAGAGAGTGGACCTGGGGGCTGCTCCCAGCTCTGAGGGCCGGACATTTTGGTGTTTTGGTTCTATGCTTTACCCTGTGAGGGAAGAAGGAACACTGGTCATTGCCAGCACTCATCGTCAGGGCAAGGTGGAGCACTTTGCGAGGGGGAGGTCCTGACCTCTTGGAGGATGTACAGCCCCCCCAGATCCTCCCTCCTGCAGGTGAGCTGTTCCTAGGGGAAGGCTGCAGGCTGAGAACGGACAGAACTTGGTTCATTTGTGCTTTGTGCACCTCCCCCGTGGCAGCTGCAGCAAACCCAGGCACGTGTCTGGCTGCAGACACGCTGCTTTGAATGACCTCAGGCTTTGGGCAGGAGCAGCCCTGCCCTTTTTGAGGGTTGTGCCTGGTCCTTGCTGCCCTTTCCCAGCAGCATCCCTGGGGATGTGGGAGCCGGCTCAGCTCTTCTGGGACTTGCAGGGCTCTGGGTGCTCTGTCAGGACAGGCTGTGCCACTGCCTCTCCTGCCTTCTCAGGGCATGAGCTGGTGTTTATGCCAAGGATTAGCAGTGCTCTCTTGCTCTGCCATCCTGAGTTCCGTCTTCCCTTCTTCCCTGCAGACCAGGATCCAGCTGCTCCTGCCAGTGCAGGCATGGCTGAAGGTCAGGGTGACCTTGGGTGGCTTCAGGCCAGGCTGGGGCTCACAGGGTTTTCCTGGGGAGGGAAAGGGGAGCAGGTGCTGCAGCAGCCAAAGCTCTGGGGTGTGAATCTGCTTCTGTTAAATCCTGCAGGATAGAGGAGTACCTGTGTCTGGTGTTCCCATGGGACTGGATCCCTGCACCAGCTTCTCTCCATCCCAGCTCTGTCTGCCCAGATTTGGGCCGTGGTGGCTGATGTGAGCAGGGAGGGGGTGGGGGATGCAGGCAGGGAGGGTCTCTTCTTCACCAGCTCCCCCTTCGCCTCTGCCTGCTGCAGGGCTGTCAGTGTGTGAGCTCAACCGAAAAGGCTCCCAGCAAGGTGACCCTGGGGACAAAGTCACCTCTGAGCCATCGATCTGGTGGCTTTGTGCTGCCTGGTTGAAGCCCCCTCCTCCCCCTCCGCTCAGGCTCTTGCTGTGTTTTCATTCCAGGGAGCTACTTTGCCAACCACTTCATCATGGGTGGTGAGAAGTTCGACTCCACACACCCTGAGGGGTACCTCTTCGGGGAGAACAGTGACCTCAACTTCCTGGGGAACCGTCCTGTGGTGGTGGGTACCGGAGGGGACACGGAGCTGAGGGGAAATGGGGCTGGGGGGAATCCAGAGCACAGCCATGCCCCTTCCCAAAATGGTAGTGGCTGCATGTGCCATGGGGGTGAATGGTATAAGGCTGCTGGTTATTACTTCCCAAGGGCAGAGCCAGCCAAGCACACTTGGGGTGGCCTGAGTGGATTCTCTGATGCCTAATAGAAGGGTTGGGTACTTGCTGCAGCTTGTCCCCCATCGGGGACTAATCCCTGACAGTGAGGAGGAATGAGCTGGTTTAGCCCAACTCCTTCTTTCTCACTCTGTCTCCAAGAGCTGCTTTTCCTCTTGCCTTTCCCAGTTCAGCCAGGAGCTGTCTTCCGGCTCAGAGGGCACACAGTGGGTGACATGCCAGAGTGGCATTGGTGTGGTGCAGGGTAGAGTAGCTTGGATAGGAACAGGCAAAAGTATTCCCCAAGCTCTAGCAAAAAGGAGGAAGAAAAGGAAAAAAAAGCAAAGGCGAAGTTGAGGAGTGCTGTGGGCAGCACTGATGGGTTTCACAGTGTTGAGTGCTGCCAGCTCCAGCTAGTCTTGGTGCAACCCAGCTGCAAGAGGGTCCCTGCACCCCACACTCCTGGAGATGTTTTTCATGCTGGCTGCCTTTGGAAAGGGAGGAAATGAGAGCCATGGAGTGGTGGGAGTGATGTCCCCTGCTCCCCCGTGAGCCTCTCGGCAGCTCGCCAGCGTTGGCTGGAGCAGTGTGGGGGGTCAAGTATTAAAAGAAGTTCAAGGTGAGGAATTAAAAGGCATCAAAGCTTTTCTGTTGAGTCAAGATAAACTTGCGTGATGCTTTGGACCAGCTCTTGAGTGCTGCCTGTTCCATGTTGGGCTGTTGAGGCTGCTGCCAGCCCAGTTCCTGTTTCCTCCTTGGAATTGGCTTCTGGAGTGTTTTGGCAGCATTGTGCAGTCCTTCAGCAGGGAAGTGTCCAGCCCTGGGCTGTGCCAGAGTAGGGATTCAGGTAGAACCAAGGGCAGGAGCACCCCCAAAGGTTGTGAGCATTGAGTGAGCAAAGGCAGTGCCTTTCTCTCCGTCCTTTGTGCTTCCCTGGAAAATGAGAAGTCAGCACTCAGGGTCTCTCTCCAGCAGTGAGCGCTGAGAAATCCTCTTGATTACAGTAAAAGCCTCTAAACTGCCCAGCGAGCAGTTCCCGAGTCAGCCACCCCGACAGCAGAGCAGCAGGAAAGGCAGAGGAACAGCTTGGAAGCAGCAGAGAGAATTAATACAGCATCACGAGCTAAATTGCATGGCTCTGGCTTAACTACCGACGGCCCTGGGCTGCAGAGCTGTGACCAAGATCCTCTCTCCCTGGGGAGCAGGGGGAGTCTGGGGGATGGACTTTTGGGTCAGGCCAGTTCTGGGGGCTCAGGAAGGGCTTGGGGAGGACCTGGGTTGATTCTTGCCTAAGCCTGTGTCCAGGCAATGCTTGGATATCTCTGATGCTGCCTCCAAGTCCTGTCCTGATGTTTCTTGGCTGTGATGCTCTCACATTCTGGCCTGCTGTGAGAGCCCTGGTTGGGCTGGAAATGTTGGAGACAGGCACTGTTTTTTGGTGGGGGATTTGTTTCAGGTTGCTTGGGGATCAAGGGCTAGGAGGTCTTGGAAAAATTGTGTCCTAAGTCCTCTCTGAGTGGAGCACTTCATCTGAGCTATGAACAGTGCTGCTGCCACAGGGATATGCAGAGCACCCAGAGGCTGTGCAGGTTCTCCCTTCGATGGATGCATGATAATCTGGATTTTCCAGCTGGGAACAGGTTCCCAAGGGGCTGGGAAGGGCGTTACAGGTTTAAGTAGCTGCTATCATGAAGGGTCTGAGGAGTAGAGAAGCTGCTGGTGGCACCCAGAGAGCCCAGGGGAAGCCAGAGACCGTTGAAACTTGCCGCTGGGTTTCCCTGCCCACGCAAACCTGCCGGGGTCTGCTTGTAGAAAAACCCCAAGAAAGATTTTTTGAAAGGTTATTTTCACTTTAACAGAAGCTGGCCTGGACCAAATGTTGCTATAGGCATGTGGCTGATTTTCTTACCTTCACTGCAACCGTTACCGATTTTTTTTTCTGTTATTTTGTAGCCTGATTTCAAGTGAGGAGATGCAAAACATCCCCTGAACATCCCCTTTCTGATGTGCAAATCCAGCTTGTAAAATTTAATTTAAAAAACATCCAACCACCCCCAAAAAAAGAGTTTTTCACACGTGGGTGTGAAAGAGCCCAAAGCAGTTTCTGCAGCACAAAATTTGCCTGCAGCACTTCCCCATCCTACCCAGCCCAACAGCCCCTGTGGGGGCACCCAGGGGACCTGACTCCCCCTTCCCTCCTCCATCACCCACCCCTGGGTGCTGCTGCAGGAGGGGGTTTGCACCCATGGGTGCTCTCCCTGCCAAGGTGGGTTTGGGTATGGCTTGGCTGGGCGAGGTGCAAACGAGCAAGATTGGATTGCTTCATTAACTTGAACAGCAGGGGATGTATCGTGACATGGCACAGCATGTCATGACATGGCTCAGCTCCAGCCCAGAGGCTTTTTCTCTCTCACTCCCTTCCAGCTGCAGTTCTGACTCTGCAGGTGCACAATTCTGCAGGTGCACGTTTAGTGATTTTTTTAAAGAGTTCGTTAACATTAGGTTAATGATGCCACTGCCCTTTTCCCCTACGGGTGGGGAGGAGAGGAGTGGGATGCAGTTTGATGGTGCTGGGGATTCATCTCCAAAGACTCTGATGCTATCAGCCATGCAGCATTCGTCCCAGGTTTTTATCCACCTTTTGATGCCACCAGTGGGATTGGAGCTGTGGGATGGTTGGATGTGGTGATGTTGGGATGATGGAGGAGGGATGGGGCAGAGCTGTGCCAGGGTCTGCCAGTTGCCTGTCCCATCCTGTCCCTCTGAGCCCAGCACAGGTCCCCCAGTCCCATCCATCCTGCTCTGCAGGGCTTTGGGGACAGAGGTGATGAAGGCTTTGAGGACAGGTTAGGTGATGATGGCTTTGGGGTACATCTACCTTCACTGGTATATCTCTCATCCTAGTTCCCTTACGCTGCTCCACCTCCTCAGGAACCTGTGAAGACCCTCAGGAGCTTAATCAATATCCGCAAGGACACGCTGCGCCTCGTCAAGTGAGTGCAGGCACCCCACAGCCGTGAGCCACGGGAGGGAAGGGTCTGGCTGGGTGCTCCCAGGGGATGGTGTGCACGGGGATGCTTTCATTTCAGCACGGGCAGATAGAGGGGATGAGCCACTGCTCTCCAAATGTGCCCTTCCCTTCCCAGTTCCCGCATGCCAGCGCTGCCTGTGCCGCAGGATTAAAGGAGCTTAGTGCTGCCTTTGAAGTGCTTTGCTTCTTCTTCCTCCCCCACCTTCCAAAGGCTTTGTTGGAGGGAGGTTGGGGATTGCGGCAGGGCTGTGAGATTTGGGATTACAGCTGAAATCTGGCTGCGGCACTTCCCAGCCTGCAGGTTTGACCTAGGAACTACAGGCCTGTCAGTCTGCCCTGCCGTGCCTCAGTTTCCCCTGAGGGAGGGAGGCAGCTCCTTTTGGGGCCATCAGTGCAGAGGGGGTCAGTCCTGGA